ACTCCGAGAGTACATTTGGTCTATTTAGTTGTTATGATTGAACGTTCTATTGCTTTGATAAATACTAAATTTTACATTGATAATCACTATTTTATTAAATTTAAATCATATTCTTGATTTTTTCAAAGTAAAATAACTTTTAATCTAACGACTAAATTGAGAGAATGTGCCAGCAAAATATATTATCACAAATTTTAAGAACCATAGAGTATAATCTATATAATGTGGGACATGAGAATTTTTACCATAAAACAAGGGTATCCCGTAATATATTTCAGATATGTGGGACATGGAAGTTGATGGATACCCTGAACTCGAAGGTATCCTGCCCAACAAAACAATAACCAGCCCAACAAGACCTATCTAATTACAGGAATCAGACGTGCTCGGCCATTTAAGCCTTTCTCCGCATGTTTGCGTTGTCATTTCAACAGTTCACGTTGGCATAAAATGTGGATAGAAAATTCTTCGATGTAAGTCTATTTTGTGTGGGTGTAAACCATTAAAGTAACGCCGCAAACCTCTCGTGTGGGAAATGCGGCACATTCCTTAGTGTATAAATAACATGATTGAACATTTTAATGAGTAAAAAAGAATGCATGTTAGGATTATTGGTGTATACATAAGCATAAAAAATTTAGATGAGTAAAAGAAATAGATGTAGATGAAGATGTAATAAGCGAAATAGAGGAAACTTGCAAAATCTTGCAAATTATATGAATAATGGCTCAATGAAATGTCAATGATGAATTTTCTACATTATTTTTTTTAAATAAGAAATGTTTTTAATATTGCCTCATTTGGACAATTTGGTTAAGGTAAATTCATCAGTGCGGCGTATGAAAACTAGCATTTCATTTCAATTCTTGAATTCCAAATTTGAAATTTAAATTCTTGAATTTCAAATAATAAGAGTAGATATGTGGATATCAAATTGAATTTTGTTATGAATTAGAAAAATTTATTTCAAATCAAAATTTTATTTTTTAAAGTTACTAAACATTAAATTTGAACCAAATCCGAATTTAAAATTCAATTTACACTTTTTCTTTTATGCTTACCACAAAAATCTATTGCGTCATTTCATGAGCTTTACAAATACTAATATAAATTTATATCTCTGTCTAAATAAAAACTAGTAAAAGCTTAAAACAAAAAGTAAATTTCAGAAAAATTAGCTAATTGGGCCAACTGGCCACTCTGGATTTTAGTTTGGACTTTCAACTTGTTGCATCTGTTGGGCTGGATAAGTGCATAATTTCATCAGGGACAAAAGGGTAAATTTACTTCTACCATCTCCCCCTTTTAAAACCTCCCATTCCACTGTGAAAAAAAACCCTATCCCAATCTACCCTCCCTCCCCCCTTCTCTCTCTCTCTATCTCTTTAAATTTCCGCCTTTTCTCGATTAGCCTAACCTTTTCTCTGCAGACATCAAACCCTAACCGGAATCTCCCTTTCGAAGCTCGTTCTCGTCCAGATTCAGCGAGGTAAACGAAGAAAAATCTCATCTTTTATGGTTAAGATGGTTTTCATGATCTGGTTTAATATCTGGAACGAGTATTTTTCCGTAGACTTGTGTCTGATTGTTTTGTGTGCTCCGATCTCTGTAGAAAATGGGAGATGCCAAGGAGACTGAAGCTTACGAGGAAGATCTCCTTGACTACGACGAAGAAGACGAAAGAGCCCCTGAATCTGTAGCTGCTAAAGTCAACGGCGAAGCCGTCAAGAAGTGAGCTTCTTTGGTTTTTTTGTTTCTCCATTGGTACTAATTTATTGGATGGAGCTCTTTATTTTGAAGTTAATTGACCAGAGAGTTTATTTGTGATCTTAGATCTCTTATCTCTTGCTGGTTATCAATTGGAGTTTATACATGTTACGCTCATTAATCAGAATAGTTTGTCTTGTTTCTCTTAAATTGATATGCTGTATATACTTGAAACTTGAAAGTTCATGTGTAGTTGATATTGTTTAGTACATGTCACCATACCTTCATACAAGATGTGTTTTTAGACGGTGTGTATCTCTAACTGGAAATAGAACTGAGAATTTATATTTTTTAAATTATCAGGGGATATCATTCAATCCACAGTTCGGGTTTCAGAGACTTTCTTCTCAAGCCAGAGCTGCTGCGGGCTATTGTGGATTCCGGGTTTGAGCATCCATCCGAAGGCAAGTCACTCTATCATATGGATCTTCTTGAAAACAGTATTTTGAGTGTTCATTTATCTCCTACTTTTGAGTGTGAGATGTAGGCCGTGTTTGGAATTTAGCGGTTAGGTGTTGGCTGATAGATGTTGGTGTTGACTGGTTTGAACGGCTGGTTGAGTTGGCTGCTTTGACTAATCAACTATATTGGCCGTTGATAAAAAATGTTTGGCAAACTTAGCTTCTTCAAAATAGATATTTTAAATTAAATTAAATTTAATGAAATTTTCACCCATATAATTACATGGTATAACATGCTTTGCAATATATATTCTTTCTTTCCTCAAATAAAATCATAAGCTATATATTGTTCTAAAGTCATTATGATTTTATTTATTTATGTGTTTTTATTGATCAATTGATAGAATATTATAATTATATGGAGTATCATATTTTGTTTCTACAACAAATTCTCAAAAAAATCAGAAAAGTATTTTTTTCTCGCAAATTGCTTCATGACTATTACATGGGGAAGGACTTTTTATTTTTTTACTATTTACTTATTTATATATTATTTACATATTTATTTATATAGTTATTAATTGATTTGTTTATTTGTTTATCAATTTTTATTTATATATTTATTTATCAATTTTTTATTTAATTATGCAATACATAATTAATTTTTAATTTATTCATAATAATTACATACAATAAAAAGTAATAAAAAATCATTTTCCAACAACCAAACCGAAATGGTACTCCCCGTAGGTCTTTAAATATTTGCTTTTCGGACTCAAACAGCCAACCCTTTCAGCCATCATAACACTCTTTTTGGCTGTTTGACCAGTCAAATACCCTAAACTTGGTCAAAACAGCCAAAAGCCATCCTAAATGCCACAAACCAAACATGCCCGTATTGCCCATTTATCCACCCCCATCTAGCAATTATGATGTATCATATTTATCTTTTTTTGTGCCATCTAATCATAGACTTAGAAAACAATTAGTTGGATAGTAATAAATTTATGAAGGTGCTTTTTATCAAGTATGGTTTCATACTTCTGTGTGTGGTTGTTTTGAATTGTTTTGATTTGTTGTAAGAATTGAGAATATGTTCCTTTCATAACCTTAAAGACCAATTTTCTCATCCCAACTTGCTAGTTTATATGTTCTCCATTCTAGAACAAACTAAAATGTCATTTTTTCTTTATTCACTAATCACAACATCAGTTAACTATCATTTAAAATCTATGCTTATGTGAATATATATTCATGTGGGATTTGGTTTGATTTTTCTTGATATATACTTTAATAATATATAATTTATTGAAAGCTTTAGTTTAATTTGTGCACCGGAAAGCATGGAAGTTTTATTGTTGCAACTAATTTAGAACCAAGGAAGTATGTAGTTTGATGTTGTAGAGATATGGTGTGCTTTTGGTCGTGTTTATGTTTTTATTATTTTATTATGTATTATTTTTCTTTTTTAGGGTAGCATTCATTTGATGCTGTATTTTATAATAATACTATATAATTGGCTTATAGCTTTTTTTAATGTCTCTATTTGTATTCAGAATGTGAAAATGTTCTGTTGATATGCCTTCCCTGTGTGCATGCAGTTGACAAATATTTGTTCATCATTTAGTGTAAAAATGTCATGACTATTTATATCTGCAATATTTGTATTCTTGCTCAATGCTTCAACCTTTATTTTTTTCAGGTAAATAGTCATTATCAGTACAATTTTGGAGAACTACAATGGTAAACTTTTTTTAACTGAAACTGAGATACCCTTCCTCCTTGGATCCAATCTATATGGTTCATCAGTGCAACATGAATGCATTCCACAAGCTATTTTGGGTATGGATGTAATTTGCCAAGCAAAATCTGGGATGGGGAAGACTGCTGTTTTTGTCCTTTCAACTCTGCAACAGATTGAACCTATATCCGGTCAAGTTGCTGCCCTTGTTCTTTGCCATACAAGGGAGTTAGCATACCAGGCATGTATTATTTACACAATTTTGTTTAGAAAAATGTTCTTCATTTTCCCATATAACTCATGTGCTCTAATGTTTCTCCAGATCTGTCACGAATTTGAGAGGTTCAGCACATATTTGCCTGATATCAAGGTGGCTGTTTTTTATGGAGGTGTCCATATTAAAGTTCACAAGGATCTTCTGAAGAATGAATGCCCTCACATAGTGGTTGGTACACCAGGAAGGATTCTTGCTTTAGCAAGAGATAAGGACCTTTCCTTGAGAAACGTGAGGCATTTTATACTGGATGAATGTGACAAGATGCTTGAATCACTTGGTAGATCTTTCATTTCCTACATTCTACATTAGAGCCTATTTCAAATATAGAATAGCTTTTGTAATTTTTTTTGGTAAAATCCTTTTGCAGACATGAGGAGAGATGTCCAGGAAATTTTCAAGATGACTCCTCATGACAAGCAGGTTATGATGTTCTCAGCAACTTTAAGCAAGGAGATCCGCCCAGTGTGCAAAAAGTTTATGACAGATGTAATGTCTCATGGCAAAGTCTACTGTTTTCCCATATTTCAGCTCTCTGCTTCTTGGAATGGGTCAATTTTATCACCCTTAAATCAAGTCTTCACTTGCTGGATCTGGCTTATTACTTAGGGAAATGCTCTATTATAGTTTTTTTGGATTAGTTAGTATCTCTACCAGCTGAAGTGGGATCCAAATCTGTGTCCCTTTTCATCTTTTCCCCAATACCCTTTTCCATTTTTCATTTTATGTTGAAGTTTGTTCGCGATGCTTTGAGTTGGGGTGGTTGCCACCCTATGGGAATTTCTTTTTTTAATTTGCCGAGGAACACTTGTCCAAGGCCTGTCGGTGGTGTGGTATCAGCAAGGAATGCATTAGTTAGTGCTTCAATGAAGTCTCTGCCAGGCATGCCAGGCGTGATTTCACTGTTGGAATGGGACCTTGGTTACTGGGATGTTACAGTCGATCATTTCCTGCTCATTCTCTAAGCTTCATGAAGCTCCTAATATGGTTTACTATGACATTTATTCTTTTCAGCCTATGGAAATTTATGTTGATGATGAGGCCAAATTGACTCTACATGGACTTGTTCAGGTATTTCTTCTACTGCTTGGAACTTCCATTTTTGAAATACTACTTTGCTTTTCTTTACACCTTTTTTGGTTTTTCAGCACTACATCAAATTGACTGAAATGGAGAAGAACCGGAAACTGAATGACCTGCTGGACGCACTGGACTTCAATCAAGTTGTGATCTTTGTTAAAAGTGTGAATCGGTCTGCGGAGCTAAACAAGTTACTTGTTGAGTGTAATTTTCCATCTATCTGCATCCACTCTGGCATGTCCCAGGAAGATAGGTTGGTATAGTTAATGTCTTGAATTTCATATGCATTATATTCAAGTAATTTTTTTAAGTTTTATATTCCAACAGAACTCATCTGCCATAACATACAGAATATATGTTTTCTTCATATTTTGTTTCATGCCTTTTTTTATGAGAACTGGTTTTTCTTGAGATTATGAGTTGCTTTTTTCTCAGATTAACACGTTACAAGCTTTTCAAGGAAGGTCACAAGCGAATTCTCGTGGCTACAGATTTGGTTGGGAGGGGTATTGATATTGAACGAGTGAACATTGTCATTAACTATGACATGCCGGATTCTGCGGATACTTACCTTCACAGGGTTAGATGATGACACATCCTTAAAAGACTATTTACACTTGAAATGTGTTGTATATTTGGAAATTTTTGATGCCCATTAATCACGAAAACCATAGGTGGGTAGAGCTGGACGATTTGGCACAAAAGGTCTTGCTATCACTTTTGTTTCATCAGCAGCCGATTCGGACGTTCTCAATCAGGTTTGTGGTCTGGTTTTTTTACCAACTTCATCTTCTCATATATTTCATCGTACTAAATACATTGCTGCTGCCTACTGATTGTAGGTCCAAGAAAGGTTTGAAGTTGATATCAAAGAGCTTCCTGAGCAGATTGACACCTCTACATATAGTATGTCCCTCCCCCCTTTAGTCATGCTAACTTTTTTCTTGGTTTGTATCGCCCGCCCCCTTTAAACATGCAACGGTGTACTTCACTAGTCAGTACCACTATTATTTGCCCCACACTACCTCACTTGTCATTTCTTTCCTAGCACTATTTGTTCGTTCGTTGTTTTGTGGTGCTAGTTCATTCTGAACTTGGGGTTTTTTTTTTCAGTGCCGTCTTAAAACAAAACACACATTCCGGAATGGCATATGTGGTAGAAGGCAAGACCATGTGAGTTGCTTGTGCTGGCAGGCTTATTTTCCCCATTGCTGTCAAATGTTTTTGGACCATTTATTAAGATGTATCGGTTGTTTCGGATTCCTGTAGATTTTAGGTTATTTTCGCTAGTTCATTTCCTTTATGAGATCTTTGATTTTGAAACTTGTTTGTGTTTGTACGGTCTGTTTAATTCAAATTGAGAGATGCCATTTTGAGGGTCTTAGTGATGAACAAATATGTATTACTAGTGGTTATCCACTTGTTCGTTCTTATGTTTTTCTACGTTTGATTTGTTCGTTGATCCAGCCAGGTTTAGGTTAGATAGTGGGTGTTTCCCTGTGCTGGTTGTTTATTGATTTATTGTTTAAAACTAGTTTTTAATTTATAAGTTGTTTTTGAGTTAAAAAATTCTTTCGTCCGGACAAAATGGGTAGTTTTATAAGTAATTTGGTCAAAACATAGAAATGAATAAGCTAGCTTAAAAATATGTCTCCCGTCCGAAAAAGAAGTACCCGCTTTGACTTTTTTTCATTTTTAATGTGTTGACACTGAGTGTAGTTTGTCTAAAATGTCCTTGGTACTAATGCCTGATTTGAAGGCTTGCAACAGCCCAACCTCCACTTTCTGATTGGATTAGCCACGGCCGACACCATTGCCACCCCAACTTCCACTACTACCAACCCCACCACCACTTGCACCGCTGCTTTCAACCTATAGTCACTGTCGGCCCACCATCTTCGTTAGACCCCACCACCATCAATCCAGCCCCACTATCACCGCTAACCCCACTACCATCGTCCCGTTGTCGACACCATCGCTGCTAACCCTCCCCACCATCACCCAACTCCACCCTCGCCAGTCCTACCATTGCCCCAAACTGCCACCATCGTCATACCTGGGATAAAGAGAAGAAATAAGGGAGGGAAAGAGGAGGAAGAAGAAAATGATGATGATATTCAAAGCGTAGATCTGCACAGATCTACCGCGGAATTGAGAAGACAAGTAGGGGAATGATGGAGAAAAAAGAAGAAAAAGACAAGAGTAGGAGCTAATTTGGGAGAGAGAATGGATAATGGATAGAAAAGAAGAGGAAGAAGCAGAGGAAGAGAGAGAGAAGAAAAGGAAGATAGATTGGAAAGGGTGGCGGTTGGCGAGGGATAAGAGCCAGGAGAAAAGATAAGTGAGGGCGTGGGGAGGGTATTTTAGGAAGAATGGTATGAAAGCGTATAATGAGAACTTTATTTCCGGCCGAAAAAAAGAGTTCAATGTGAACTTTTTTTTGGACGGAGGGAGTAATATATATTTATATTTTTTGTTTATTAGTAGTTTATAAGGCTTGGTTTCATTCAACTTATTTTTCTGATCCGATTAATTACGATTTGATTTAAAATTGAAATCAATAATTTGATTTGACTTTATAATCACGTTTGAAAATTGTTATGACAATTCTTATTATAATATAATCAATATTTTTTATTTTATGATTATTTTTTAATGAAATAAAATTAGTTAATTCATATATTAGAATAATTATTCATATTATAATGTAATAATACTTTTTATTTTATGATTGGTTTTTTTAAATAAGAATATTGATTTAATATTTTAATAATTAGTTCATATAAACTTTAGAATAAATAATTAATTCATATATACATTAAAAAGTAATTAAATTTAAATAATCAATATAGAGAAGAGATTGTATTTTTTTAAATATCTCATCCTTATAAAATATCAATGTGTGCTTTGTACTACGAAACTTATTTTATGATTAATATAACACCATAGATATAATAGTTAAGTCATGATTAAAGTTGATCAAATGTTAATTTTATTTAAGTCATGATCATAGTTGATCAACTCGATATAGTAAAGATCAAAACTTTAAAGACTCATACAAGTAGCAATAAAAATTTATTTTAATCGTAGAGTTAGATGGACATTGTCAATGTATTTTAAAAATAAAGTTTCCGGCATTTAATCATTAAGGATTACTTTTTCAGTTTTCTATTTAACTTGTTTCTAAAATTTTTCTTTTTTTCATTTTTAATATTAATGATGATGATGATGATGATAATAATAATAATAATAATGCTAATTCATGATTAGATCTGATCTGATTTTAATAAGAATAAGAAAAAAGCAGAAAAAATAAGTTGGACGAAACGGGGCCTAAATACAGAGAAACACATCTTGAATTATATTCTAAGTTAAAAACTGTTTATTTACTAATAAGCATATAGAAACATTTACATAATCTATGGTTTGCCTGACTTAGTTTAGTTTTGAATTCAGTCTCTCTAATTGTGGTGTTAAAATGCCTGACTTGGCACGTTGTTGTTAAATCCACTCTAATTTTGTCTATAGCTACCTCATTTGTTAAAAATGTACAAATTTCTTCTTAAGAGTGTGAACAGAGAAAAATGGTCTGAAATTATTTTGAAATTATTTAATATAAAAATTGGTGTAAAATTTAAAACAAAAATTAATCTTAAAATACTTTATCAAAAAATCTACAAAATTAATAGTGACATAACTATATTATTTTATCGAATGAGTAACGAAAATATAGAAAGAAAGTAAATTAAATTTAACCTTGTGAATAATAAAAATGTAATTTAATTTGGGACAAAGAGAATAATATTATTCAAAAGTTGTGGGTCATTATTTTATTTTCATTGTTTTGTGTACTGGCTAGAAGGATCTTGGTATTTGAAATGAATTTTGGACCTATAGTTACTTGTATATTAATTCAATGAGCATTATCTTTATAAATAATTTACCAGATAAATTTTATGCACAAAGATTTTTATTATCACTTTATATTATTAATTATGGTCAATGTTTTAAAATCTTAACTAACTAAACATACATTTTTTATTAAACATAGTCAAACAGTGGAAATTTTTGTTATTATCATTTTACATTACATTAGGTGTGCGTTTGTCTAGTTTATTATTTTTTGAAATTATTAACCACAGTGAATGTTTTAAAATTATTATTTTATATGGAGATTTTATTACATTAGGGACACTATAATATATGCATATATTATTATATATGGAGATTTGTATTATCATTTTACATTATTAACCACAGTGAATGTTTTAAAATATTAATAATTATAATTAAATATATATATATATATATATATATATATATATATATATATATATATATTTATTAAACACAGTCAAACATCATGGAGATATGAAGATTATTCTTTAGAGAGATTAATAAATATGGTGACATAACTAAATATAATTTTTTTATTAAACACGGTCGGTAGATATGAAGATTATTATCTATGGAGATTAATATATATATATATATATATATATATATATATATATATATTGGTTCAAATGAGAATGCGATCTTATGAAAGAAATAAGAATGAATCTGGTGCTTTAGATTGTGAGATCTAAGGGTCAAGATTGCATCAAAATTAGGTGCACCAGATTCATTCTTATTTCTTTCATAAAATCGCATATATATATATATATATATATATATATATATGCTTTATTATATGTAAGAAATTTTTTAATAGTCAACTCTAGATTATAAAACACGGCTAAAATCTTACAATAATAATAATAACGGTAATAATAATAATTAATGATTTAGAAAAATCAAATGATTTTTTATTATATATGGATATTGATTTGTACCATATATGAAGATAATCATTTATGGAAATTATTGTCAATAGATTTTCAATATTCTCTCTTCTCGTTTTGACTTTTTGTATTTTTTAAAGAAAGTTGAAAAAATAAAAGTTTATCAAAATATATTTAATGAAAACAGGTAAAGTGTATTAAATGAAGTGAGTGAAGTGTAATAAAGAGATAATTGGGAGCAATTGTGGTAATTTACATGTTTAAAAAAATATCGAAAAGATCTATGAATGACAAATAAAAAAGACTAATGCGAAGATCTATGAGGGATTGAAGGGATATTTTTTTTACATTATTAATCATGGTTAATGTTTAAAATCTAGTTTTAAATTCTTTATTTCAGTTTCTTTTATTTGTCTTCTTCTTCGAGATATGCCGTATGCGACCATAAGAGCATCTGCAGTGACAAATAGAATGCCTTGCACTGCCACAACAACTCTTTCCACTTATGTCATGGCATGACAAGGCCAAAATGTCTTGCTTGGTGAGGCATGGGTGTGACACTCCACCTTTCTTTTTTTATTTTTTTTAAATTCATTTATGAAAAAATGTATAAAAAAGAAGAATAATTTTTTAATAAAATAAATGATAAAAATATTTTTTTTATGTTTAAAAAACATAAAAAACGTAAAAAAGTGATAAAAATATTCTAATCATCAAACGTTGCTAATCTCCATAAACAGTGCTAATCTCAATAAATATAATTTTCATATCTCCATATATAATAAAAAATCCATAAATAAATAAGTAATCTAAAAACTTAATATCATAATAATTCAATGTCGCAAATCTCCATAAATATAAGTTTGAAATCTCCATAGAATAATTTTATAACGTACATACAAGTCATGCAATATACAAGCACGGTACACTGATACTATATTTGCATAGAAATCCAAAATTGAATGTATGGCCAGAATCATGAAATACACAAACTTACTATTAGATACTCCCTCCGTCCCAAAAAGATTTACACCTTTCGAAAAAGTTGCGTCCCACAATCTCCTACTCATTTCTATTAAAAAACCACTTTTACCCCTTACTTTTTCAAACCCTACCTATCACATTATACCTTTTTTCTTAATAATCTACACATCAGATCATACTTTTACCCATCACATCAAGGGTATTTTTGGAAAGTCAACACAAAATTATTTTTTTCTTAATTTCAACTTTAGTCAAAACGTGTAAATCTTTTTGGGACGGAGGTAGTATTTGAGTATTTAAATTTCTAACTTCTAACTTTGGTCTTTTATGGGATACATAATTTATAAAATTGTGTATTTTATAATATTTATGTTTGTGATTCTAACATTTCTGGTACGAATTAAAATAGGTTAATTTTACACCCACGACATACTAAAAAAACGAATTCTATACCGACAAATTTATTGGCTTAAAAAAAATCAAATTTACTCAGTTTAATATTATCGACACCAAGGTTTCTATAACAATGGAAACCAATATCATTGGATGACCCAAGTACCATTCATAAAATTGATGGGTTCTCCCCCAAGTAATGATTTCTAATGTGGCGAGAACCTTGCCTTAACCAACAAGCCCTTCAAAAATCTCGTATCTAATTGGAAACCCTAAGAAAGTCGGCGCCGGGGAGAAATATAGCGTGCATATAAAACCTCTCTCTAAGGGCAATTCTCAGGCCTTCAACCCTAATTTCTCTTCAGGGTTTTGCAGCCTACACCGCAGCTTCAATAATCTTCGCCGGGTTTTCTTCCATCAGAATGGGCAGAGTAACCAAGAAAACAAACACTAAAGTAAGATTTAATCCCCCCCCCCAAAAAAAAAATAATAATCAAGCGCAGTTGTGTTTCAATCTCGCTCTAATTTTATATGATTGTTCTTTTAGTTTTAAAATTCTTGATTTTGAATATGTTCTAGGTTAATTCCGCTCCTGCAAAAGCTCCTCCAAGTAAGCCGATGACGAGAGGTTCTATTTTTTCTATTAAATATATTTCTGTATATTTTATGATGAAATTGATTTTACCCAGTGTTTGAATTATAACTACTGTGATTTGGATTGTTTTTTTGTTTTCATATTTTGAGAGCTTGTTGTTTTTATATTTTAGGTAAGAGAGATGCTCAAGGTAAGCTTGAGAAGCCCGACGTGAAAAAGCAGAAGAAAGATGTAGTATTGGAGCAAGCTGAGGAGAAGAAGGTTGAGGAAAAGACACAGAATAATATGGACATCTGTTCTGCGGAAGAATCTCCTGGGTCTGAAGAAGTGAAGGTCAATAAACCAGTTTATGATGCATTAATTTATTTAAGGCAGCTGGAGTAATTAGACTAATGATTTATGTTATGGTTTTTTTGTGGGTTCTAAGTGATACTCTACTCTAGTTTCATGTTATATATTACGGTTTTGTTTGGGAATAGCATTTTCGATTAGCGTTAGCGTTTTGGATAGAATTTTAATGGTGTAGATTAATTTTAAAAAAGCTAACACTAAACGCTACTGTCAGATGCCTTTTTTAAAATGATAATGTATAATATTGGTGCCAAACGGGGCCTAGAACTAGTTGATGGTGTGTTTGTTGATATACTTTTTTTGTGGAAACAATGTTAACAAATGCTTGTACGATGTTTTGTCTAACGATACTATTTTTATTTTACAGGAATCTGCTAATAAAATTGTACCTGATCAGAAAGAATCTGAGCTTGCAAACAAGGAGCAACAGTCAAACAGTTCAGAAGAAGGCTCTGGGTCTGAAGATGGTAGTGAAGATGAAGACAAGGATGAAGAAATACCCGATGCAGATGTATGTGCTCATTATGCTTAGTATCTGCTTGGTAGAATTGATTGCCACTTCAAATGAGCATGGTTATGTTAAGCAACTTTTGTAATACTTCCATATTTTTTTTTCCAACTGAGTGGGTTAATTTTCAGGGTGAGGCAAAAGTGGCACCGTCCATCTCAGCTAATAATGAGGTAGCAAATGACGAAAAAAGTGAATCTATTTCTGAAGAGGGCAGGCCGCAGGAAGATGAAACAGTTGAGAAGGCTGCTCCTCAGGCACCTGTGACTTCAGAACAAGCCAAAAACGGCCCCGAGGAAAGCAGCTCTGAGGAAGAAAGCTCTGAGGAAGATGTAGAAGCTAGTTCTGATGAAGATGTATGTTGTTATTGCCTCACTTTTTTGCATGCATATGTTTTGTAGAAATTAATTTAATGCTTCATATAATTTTTCACACTGAGTAATTTTATTTTTAGGTTGCAGCAAAAGCTGCAAAAAGCACAACCTCCGCAGCTGAAAATGAAATGGTACTACTTTTCAAACATCCTCATTTCTATAGTCTCAAGTATGCATTTTTGTTTTGCTTTCAGAGCTGCTAATTGTTATCTTTTGGGTTTTATTTTGCTTCAAAGGGAACTGATGACGACAGTGAAGATGATGATTCTGGAAGTGAAGAGGATGGGTCTGGAAGTGAAGATGAGGAGCCAAAGAGTACAGATATCAAGGTATGTGATATATATATGTATTGGTTGCTTTGTTCATCATTGCAGTGAGTTGTGTTCTCTGACTTCTGTCAGATGCTTGCTAACTTATACCCCCTGTATCCTGAATTTTCTTCTAAACACTTGCCAGGAAAACCAAGCCGAGAGTAGAGATGGTCCAGGACCACTAATTATATTTTTACGTTTCTATTTTGGCATAACATAACATAAATTCTAGTGTTTACCTTAGTAACAGATTGTGTTGTGGTCAATATTTTTTCTCTCATCTTCACTAACTGTTACTCCGTATTACATAATTGAGTCATCTTAGTAATTGTTTTGGTTCTAGTGGACAATTACTTTTTAAAGAGTTTAACCTAAAACTTGGTTCAATAATTTTGAATTGAGGGAGTAGTACGAAGTGAATTATTAAAGCTTTACTGTTTTTTTGTTCTTAAAAGAAAATTTGCTAGTGATATTTAGTATGTTTCATTTGTTAGTTTTTAAATTGTAAATTGCCTAATGTTTTTTCTTCTTTCTTGGCTCTTCAAAATGTAGCCTCCGACCCCAGCCACACCAAAGGCTGGCGCACAAGGATCAAAAACTATCTTTATTGGGAATCTGTCATGGTCGATTGGGGAGGATGATATGTATGTTTCTATTTTCTGCCTTGAATTTATAAACATATTGGTATATGTAAACACTTTGCTATTTGTAAAACTATTTCCACTGCAATACTTGCAGTAAAACTTTCTTCAAGGACATTGGAGAGGTTAAGGAAGTTCGTTTAAGTAAACTACCTAATGGGAAGCTCAAGGGCTTTGGGCATGTTGACTTTACCACTTCTGAGGCTGCTGTCAAGGTTAACAGTTTTTTATTATTTTTTTCCCCATTCGGATATACACATTTTAGCTGAAATATTTCTTTTGAAAATACGCACTATTATTCTTGTTCTGTTTTTATTTTTTTCTGAGTAGTATTTCCTATTGCGTCTTGTTTCTCTTGTTACTACCCATCATGATTGTTTTTTATGTTGCTGTATAAAAGGCTCTTGAACTTGCGGGTAAAGATTTGGGTGGCCGTTCCCTGAAAATTGACCTTGCACTAGAGAAAACCGCTTCTACTCCTGATAGTGGGTATGCAATACTTCTCTTGCTTGGAGATTTAACTTGGTTTTGTTGTTCCCCAGACCCTTCTTTTGTGGTATTTAACAGAGTCTGTTGTAATCTCATTTGGCAATTTCTTTACTGTAGAAAACAAAATAATGCTCAAAAGCAAGGTACAAGTGGAGGTACAACTATATTTGTTAGAGGGTTTGACAAGAATGATTCTGAAGAAGAGGTGCGTATTGCTCATGTTCTTTCCTTTTCATTTCTTGTTTCATTGATGTCTGATGGTTTCTCTTTTATCGGTGCCTGGCAGGTTAGGAGTGCTCTTGAGAAACATTTTGGCTCTTGTGGAGAAATCAAAGACACAAGACTTCCAACAGAACATGGCTCTCTTAAAGGGTATGTTTGGTGCAGTGAGAAATGCTTTATGTAGGGCTTGCTTTGGAATAGCGTTAGAGATTAGTGTTAGCGTTTTGAAAAGACTATCTACGGGAAGCATTTAGCGTTTGCGTTTTCGATGTTATCCGCACCGTTGAAATTTTATCCAAAATGCAAACACTAATCTTTAAAATTATTCCCAAACAAGCTCGTATACTCCCGTCCAGTAAAATCAGTCTTGCTTAACGTGTTTTTGTGCAAAAAATGCAATTCATGTTCGAAAAAAATAAGTTTCTCTTCACAATCTTTATTGTTCTTTTTCTTTAAAAAATGTTTCCAACCCAATTTTAATTCATTAAATTTAGGTAAATGAACAAAATTTAAAATATAGCCACAAATGAGGATTTATTCTTGTGTACTGATTAATGAACTATTTTTTTGTAGTCAATTTCATATTATATAAATTCCCATTGCCCATTTATATCCTTATTTGAACCTGAGTTTGATACCTAACACTTCTGCTGCACAGGATGGCATATATTGAGTTTGCACGGAGCGAAGCAGTAAACAAAGCACTTAAACTCAATGACTCCAAACTTGGAAGCAACACCTTGCAAGTTGAAGAAGCTAAGCCAAGAGGAGATAGTGGTGGTGGAAGAAGTGGCGGACGTGGTGGAAGAGGTGGCGGGCGTGGTAGAAGGGGTGGCCGTGGTGGCCGAAGGTAATTGTTGCAGCCCAACCCTTTCTCTGACGGGTAATGCTTCTAGTTCTGTTTTCTATATTTCTAACTAGACCAATTCAAAAACACCATTTCTGGTCTTTCGAGTTTCTTTTCTCTTATGTTTATTACTATGGACTATGTGATGCCAGGTAGGAAGAAAGCAAAACATTAGGTGATGATTGAGAGTGAAAATGGAGTTATGAACTTGGCCAACTGGAAACCCCATTTTTGTTTGTTTACATATTGAATTCTTGTTTTTTTTGTTTTGTAGCATGGACCGTATTTCATTTGCTGTTTAGATGCGTTTCTGGGTGATAATTTGTTTTATTTGTTTTGGTTCTGTTTACAACCTTTAATCAAATGTGCTGTTATTATTTTGATGTGTTTATGGTGTTTTTAATGTTTTTTTTTTGAAATTGAGTTGCTTGTTTTTTATTTATAGGTCAGATTTTTTTCTTATTTTTTACTTTATTTACAAAGTTAATTTTTTTTTTTAAATTGCAGGAGTTTTTTGAATGAATAACTTGGTGTAACAAAGAATAAGGAATTGTTCCATTCTTAGAATGTTTTGGGTTTCATTGGACAATTACTTGAGAAGAACTTAAAAAAAATTGATTTAGGAGAATAAATTTGGGACACAATTTCTTGGCAATACAATCATACATTGGAACACTCCAAGTAAAACATCATTCTTACTTGCAACCTAAGTATTCTTATTTGTTCCAAATTATAATGCTCTGTTTATATAAACATATCTGAATCCCCAAATCTCCAACAACCTCGTATCCAGCCTCCATCAGCATTTCAAAGTTTGCTTTTAATTCCTTTTTGTAAAGCACAATTAAACGCATTTAATCAAATTAATAAATTAGCAGTAATATTAAATTATCGATGGAGTATTATAGAGTAGTATACTAATCTTCCGGTGTATATCAGTTCATATAATCTCAATTTAGGATGTGTTCTTCACCTTTGTAGAGCCTTGTAATTTTAGAAACCCACCATTTTGACTTTGTTTTTTTTGGAAATCACCATTCTGACTTTTTGATATTTTTAAAATTAGTTTTTAGAAAATTGCAGGAGTTTTTTGAATGAATAACCTGGAATGTTTTGGGTTTCATTGGACAATTACTTGAGAAGAACTAAAAAAAATTGATTTAGGAGAATAAATTTGGGACACAATTTCTTGGCAATACAATCATACATTGGAACACTCCAAGTAAAACATCATTCTTACTTGCAACCTAAGTATTTTTATTTGTTCCAAATTATAATGCTCCGTATATATAAACATATCTGAATCCCCAAATCTCCAACAACCTCGTATCCAGCCTCCATCAACATTTCGAAGTTTGCTTTTAATTCCTTTTTGTAAAGCACAATTAAACACATTTAATCAAATTAATAAATTAGCAGTAATATTAAATTATCGATGGAGTATTATAGAGTAGTATACTAATCTTACGTTATCATTCTGTAATGTGTTTTTGAACATAGGCATGGTTTTGAGGAGTATTTTCAATTAACGTTATCTTTCTAGAAAATACTTTAATGGTGTAGATTAACTTTGGAACACTATAGTTGAATGCTGCTCTTAGATAATCATTTCAAAACGTTAACACTAAACTCTTTTGATTATTTCTCATTTCAAAATAGGTCTTGGTTCTTCGTTCTTAGTTGTTGCTATGGAGGCGCAATTGCTACACGGGACGTTGTTTGCAACCATATATGAGGTCGATAGAATACCAAGTGGATTCTGTCCTACTCGTTGTTGTGTCGGTTTCCCTCAGGTCTCTTTCTCACAAAATGCTATTCGTATCTAGGAGTATTATTATATACTTCCTTTATCTCAAATCTATTTTTTTTTCATTTGACTTTTTGGTTAATCTTTTTAAACATTGAAATGAATATAATATAGTACGGAGTATATTTTATGCTACTCCCCCCGTCCCGTTTTAAATCGCATGTTTTGACTCTTGAGCATATTTAAAAAAAAGAAAAAATAGAATTAATTTTTAGAAAATTTTCATTACTTTTTAGAAGGGGTGACTATGATTTAGAAGATAAGGTGAAGAAGTGTGACTTATTTTAGGAGTAGCTTGGGTATTTTATTCTTAAAAGTTTACCGATAAAAATAAATGTATGGACAGTAATTATTTGGAAGACACCATAGGTGACGTTTTTAAAATTGTATTGATCAGATTGGGAGTGATAGATTCTATGCAACCATTGATCTGGACAAGGCCAGAGTGGGGCGAACCCAACTCACAACAACTTCTAAGCCATGTTTTTCTTCAGCACTTCATAAACAAAACAGGGCACCAAAAAAGAAGCCTTCAAATCCCACATGGAACCAAGATTTCCGCATCTATTGCGCCCACAAAGTCTCCCATGTCATCTTCACCGTCAAGTACGACGACCCAGTAGGCGCCAAGCTCGTCGGGCGCGCCCGTCTCTGGGCGGCAGAACTGATGGCGCCGGCGAGGAAAGGGGCGGTGGTGGACAGATGGCTGCCAATTCTCGACGGAGATGGAAGTCCGGTCCGTGGGAATTCCAGAATCCATGTCCGTTTGAAGTTCTCGAGCGTGGAGGATGATGAGCAGTGGTCTAAAGGGATCTTGAAGCCCGGCTTCAATGGCGTCCCTGATACGTATTTTGATCAGAGAGAGAATTGTCAGGTCACGCTTTACGCAGATGCCCATAGCCTCTCGGATGAGAAGATAGGAGGAAAGTTGCCGCCGGGAAGGTGTTGGGAGGACATTTTCGAGGCGATTCAGAGCGCTAAACACTTGATTTACATTGCGGGCTGGTCAATCTATGCTAAAATCAGGCTGGTAAGAGATCCGGCGAGACAGAAAGCGGACGGGGACATGATTCTCGGCGATTTGCTGAAGAGGAAAGCCGGAGAAGGCGTGAAGGTTCTTCTTCTGGTTTGGGACGACAGAACCTCCGACGAGTTTTTCAAGAAGCAGGGCGTGATGGCAACCCACGACGAGGAGACTGCCAGTTTCTTCAGAGGCTCAGGCGTGCGGTGTCTTCTTTGTCCCCGGAATTTCAGCAGCGCCGTCGCCCAAGGCGTTCAGGCTTCTGCGAGGACGACTCTGTTCACCCACCACCAGAAGACAGTGATCGCCGATTATGGGTTCCTTCAGGACGACGGAGGTAAGAATAAACAATGTCGTAAGAGATTTGGGCAAAAGATTAATTTATCAATCATCTTATTAATCCATCAATCTTTCTCCAGGGGAGAAGAAGGAGCAGAAGAGAGGAATCGTGAGTTTTCTGGGCGGGATTGATCTCTGTGACGGCCGGTACGACACCCAGGAGCATTCTCTGTTCAGGAAGTTAGACAAAGACGACTTCCACCAGCCAAACTTCGCCGGCGCGTCTTACCGGAAAGGAGGTCCGAGGGAGCCCTGGCACGACATCCATTGCAGACTGGAAGGNAGGTAAGAATAAACAATGTCCTAAGAGATTTGGGTAAAAGATTAATTTATCAATCATCTTATTAATCCATGAATCTTTCTCCAGCGGAGAAGAAGGAGCAGAAGAGAGGAATCGTGAGTTTTCTGGGCGGGATTGATCTCTGTGACGGCCGGTACGACACCCAGGAGCATTCTCTGTTCAGGAAGTTAGACAAAGACGACTTCCACCAGCCAAACTTCGCCGGCGCGTCTTACCGGAAAGGAGGTCCGAGGGAGCCCTGGCACGACATCCATTGCAGACTGGAAGGCGAAGCTGCTTGGGACGTGCTCTACAATTTCGAGCAGAGATGGAAGAAGGCCGAGAAGAATGCTTGGCAATCAAGAACAACAGGGACTGTTTCTGAAACTGGACGTGGATCTGGAAACATGAATTTATCAAAATTCTCAAAATTTTACAAAGGATTTGGGAATCGAGCCCAGAAGGACGTTTCAGGGACGGGAAATAGAGCCGATCGGAAGGATGAGACAGCCATGTTCTCCCTCGAGGAGCTCCGGAGGTTCACTGTTCCGCCGTCAAGCATCCCTGCGAATCCGAACGATCCGGAGAGATGGAGCGTCCAGATCTTCCGATCAATCGACGGGAACGACGCGGCGGATTTTCCGGAAGATCCGAGAGAGGCGAGAAAGTGCGGGCTGGTGACCGGAAAAAGCAACATAACGGATCGGAGCATTCAGGACGCGTACATAAACGCCATCCGCCGCGCGAAGAACTTCATCTACATTGAAAACCAGTATTTCGTGGGGAGCTCGTACGGATGGGGGAGAGACGGGGACAACGCCACCGGCGCCCTACATCTGGTCCCGAAGGAGATCTCGTTGAAGATCGCGAGCAAGATCGAGGCGAAGGAGAGGTTCACGGCGTACGTCGTGATTCCGATGTGGCCGGAGGGAGTGCCGGAGAGCGAATCGGTGCAGGCGATTCTGGATTGGCAGAGGAGGACGATGGAGATGATGTATACCGACATCGCCGAGGCTTTGAAGGCCCACAACGTTTCTGCAGATCCGAGAGAGTATTTGACGTTCTTTTGCCTCGGGAATCGCGAAGTCAGAGATTCCGATGAGTACACGCCGCCGGAAAAGCCGGATTCCGGCACTAACTACGCCAGAGCTCAGCAGTCCAGGCGCTTCATGATCTATGTCCACTCCAAATTGATGATAGGTAAGTCTCTATTAGATTTTAACAACAAAAATGCTATGAATTTACCACTTAGTGTTTAAATTAGTTTTTAAAAATGCAAAATTAATATTTAAAACATTAAAATTAAATTACTCCCTCCGTCCTATAATGGATCTTTCCCGTCACTATTCATATTGTCAAAATTTAATCACTTTCTTTACTTATTTTCGTTAGTTATTTGATAAAATAATATAGTCATGTCACATTTTGTTTTATAGAACTTTTGATATAAGTTTAAAATATATGCTTTTTATTTTTTAATTTTTACACCTATAATCAAATAGATTGAATTGAAAATAATTTCAGTCTAACCTCGTAAACTGAACTAGAAAGATTATTTTGAGACGGAAGGAGTATATAATTGGATAGTTTTTTCATAAAAGATAAAACTAAATGTCGATGTTGTTGCCGAACGAGCACTTAATGCTCTCTCTTTTGGTTGTGTATCAGTCGACGATGACTACATCATAATTGGATCAGCCAACATTAACCAGCGTTCAATGGACGGGTCTAGGGACTCAGAGATCGCGATGGGCGGGTATCAATCGATGCACCTAACACACGACAACCAACCCGCTAGGGGAAAGATATTCGACTTCAGAATGGCCTTATGGGGCGAGCACACAAGCCGTGTGGAGGACTTATTTTCACACCCAGAGCACCCGAAATGCATCCAGAGAGTAAACGCTATAGCCGAGGAGAACTGGAGGTTCTATGTAAGCGATGCCGAGCCACTTCTTGAAGACATTCCAGGCCATCTTCTCACCTACCCTATACAAATATCAGAAGAAGGGAAGGTCGGAGCGCGCCCGGGTTTTGAAAACTTCCCAGACACCAAAGCTCGTGTTCTTGGAACCAGATCTACTTATCTCCCACCAATCCTCACTACTTGATTTGTCTCTCCTTTGCTTCGATCAAACAAATTAAAGTGTGTTGTTGATGATACATGCAATAGAAATGTAATTACTACTAATTACTCATCCTCTACATGCAATAGAACTGTAGTTTTTAGACATCAATGGTTCTTCCAATGTGAGCAACAAATGAGATAAAGGGATAACCTTAAACAACAAGAAACAAGGGAACCATTTAACAAAATATACACACACATTCATTAACCAGTAGTTGTCATTTGTCATTGCAGTTTCAACAGCCAGCACAAGCCAAATTCTAAAAATGTGTTGAGAACACTTTGGATCTGCTTGAATCACATCAAGAAAAAATTTCTTATGAATAATAGTAGCAGCATTTCAGTTTTACAGCCACCTAGCAAATTCCAAACGAAAAACTCAGCAATCTTGAAAGAAAGCGCACATTTAACATCAAAGCTACATCTCATGCCTAGCCAATCCCCTTGCGGTATTCTTTTTTTTTGCAACGATGGGTTCATAATTTCTGTGTGATAAAGATAATCAGTTCTTGCTCTTAATGATCCACATTGTTACTGTGCCTGAGCCCCAACAACAACCTTGTTATTTACCTCAATCTTGGTATCATTTGTCTCAATTTTGGCATCATTTGTCTCAATAAATTCCTCTGGTTTCCCAAAATCTGCTGTTGCTGGTTCTTGGGTCTCCTCCTTGGGTGCAACTTCACTAATTACATTGGCAGCATTGTTAGAGGGAGAGGCAATTTCAGTTCTTTCCTTCGGCAAGGCTTTGTGGGCTGGAGCTTTCTTTATTTCACCGGACAAATTGGTCTTTTCAGAGGGTAGTTTAGGAAGGGACTTGCGCTGAGGGGTTTTCACACCGACAAGTGAGTGTCTTTTGGTAGGTTCATCCTGGGGCACTCTTTCATCCAAGCTCAATCTGGTAGGTGAGCTCTTTTTCCGACCAAGCTTGGGAGATTTGGCTCTTGTTGGCGGAACCTGTTTAACAGTGAGATAGATGGTTAACGGTAATTCAAATGATCAACACTAAATGCCCCCCTATGACCCTATCTTTCACTAGTATTTGCATGTGTGTAGTGTAAAAGATTAAAACATATGGAGTAAGCTTGGTTGAAGCTCATCATTAAAACGGTGCGACAAAATTTCCTAAAACAAGATAATAAATAACAATGGAGTTCCTTTGTAGAGCATTTAAAGCACATATAGTGCTTGGTTCATTACTAGAGACAAGTTTCAAATCCCATATTCCTTGAGAAGTTAAGGTATTCACATACCTTCAAAAGGATCATTTACTGTTCATTCAAATGGCTAATTTTGAAGCACCCGACAAATGAGCAAAAACTACATAATCAATTTCTCATACGAAAAGATAAAAGCACTTCTAGGTTCTAATTATGATGAACTTTAAAAAGATCATTGTTTATGTCATCATAACATACTGGCTAACTATGGCTGTCCACACCATATTTCTACTGGACTTCTAATGTTTTACCCATTGCCTTGTTAATCACCCAATATATAATTATTTCCTTGGCTATGATCATGATTATACACCTTACTATTCATTTATTTCACACATTTCCAATGTGCATATACGCTGGACTATCTTCCAGATGGATATTGAGAACGATTTTATCCATGAGAAACCACTATGAATTGTTGCTCAGGGGACTATAGTCTAGTGGGCTGATTGTCACTGTGTATATGGTTTGGGCAGTTAACTTTGGTTGTTCGAGAACTTGGCATGACTAGGAGTATCGCTGACCATTATATATTCTCTGTACATTCATCCATCTAGTTTTATGTTGATGACATTGTCATTATAGGTAGAGATCTAGAAGGCATTGCTCAACTCCTAAAATATACATTTAGCGAATTCCAGACTGAGGAATTGGGAAAGACGGAGAGTTATGATACTCTTTTGAAACTGAGATTACCATATCTCACAATCACAACATTCTCTCCCAAAGAAAATATGGAAAATTGAATTACCCCACAATCACAAAGCTTGACATTTCATTTACAATAAGTGCACTCAGCTAATCGCTTGATAAACCATATATAATCTGCATAGATGTCAATAAGACACCTGGACAGGGATTTCTCAATGAAAAAAAGATCATAACAATATTAAGGGGTGATGTGATGCTGATTGGCCTAAGTGTCCAATGAATAGATGATCCAAATCTCTCAGTATTGTAATTTATTCGGTGGAAACTGAATCTCTCGGAAGAGCAAGAAAAGAACCAATACACAATGTGCAATGATCAAGCAACTAGACATATTGCAGTCGGTCCAGTATATGTATACCACAAACAGTCCAAGCACATAAAATTTTATAGTCATCTTGTTCAAGAGAAGATCACATCCAAACACATTGTCGCTATTCATGTCAGCAAAAACAGTCATTTTTTCAGCATTTCGACAGAAAATTCAACCAGGCACTAGGAAAAAAGTACTCAGTATTTAACAAGCTTGGAGCATATGAATCGTATGTTTCACCTTGAGAGGGTCTAGAAACAAACTCACTTCAGGATTTAGTATAATTGCTAGCTTTGCTTTTAGACTAATTATTTGAACTTTGTTATACTTTGCTTTCCAAGTATCTATGTCAATATGTCATGCTTTGCTCAATGGTTATGTCATGATAACATCATTACTTATAACATCACTCATCATTACATCCTTGTATTTCTAAGGATTCTAGTGAAAATCAATGAATAAAGTAGATTATATTCTTCACATTAATAAAACCAAAAAAAAAAAGCAAAGTATGAGTGTCAGGGTTTTTGGGACTCTGGGTATTGGGTACTACTCCGTATATATTATATGGAGTAGCGACTAGCGATGATTGAAGCAACGCAACTATCATAGCCTCCCAGAAACAATTCAACAATTGCAATCACCTTGGGCATAATTTAATTTTATGGCAAAATCAGGCAGTCAGCTTAAGATGTATAACATAAACTTGCATTGAAAATAACTCTCTTATTATATCATTCATTACAGTTTCCTCAATGGCATCAGAAATTCAGCGTCACCTCAATAGCATGTGGTTTTTTAGGGAAAGAATAGGTGATCTGTGTGTGGAACTGCTCTAATCCTTTAGCACCTTATTTTCTCTATTTCACCTCTTTTTTTGCATGTCCACATATGTTCCTCATTTATTTGCTTACATGACCATAAGATGACCAACTCTAGCTAAGTAAGCTAACATTTCCCTATTGCAGTAATGAACTAGTTCTTGTTCAACTATATCCAATTTAAGGTCAGGTTTTAAGTTTAGAATGTCAACTTTCAAATTCAAACTGTTTCAATAATAATCCAATTAAATTCTAGACAAATTCAAATTACAAATCAAATACATGTTGTCAACTGCCAAACTAAAATACCACATAAAAGTCAATTCGTCAAGTAATTCATATCAAGTAGAAATAGAAAGCCATTTGTATTAAGGGGTTCAGTTGAGAATGTTTCCAGCAAAATTACAACATATATGTTTAAGTCCTGTATATTTGAAACATATATGTTTCAAGAAGCAACATGGAAATGTTGAAGTATATCTATGTCCCGTATATTTGTTTAGCTAACTAGCTATGATTGTTGGTGCCTTGTAGACCAGCTGCTATAGCCTCCAAAGAGAAGTCAAAGACACTCTGGCATCCTCTATTTAAAGACTAAGCTAGCTCAAGGTGACTCCAAAAGGTCTCACAACAGGTATATATACTCTATGTCTTAATTTTAAGTGAAATTAAGTACAATTCCTTGTGTTTTTTATAATGCACAGCAAGGAACTCCACACTTCCATTATTATCATTATCAGTTTATCACAGCCTTAATGCCAACTACTTTGGTTGGTGGCATCTGGCTTTAAATTTAAAATGCCAATGAATTGTATAAAACAATAAATTCATGCAAAAAACACATCTAACCTTCTTCAGCTCCACCTTAGGAGGCGAAGGTTCCTGATAGAAGTTTGGCATTGGAGTTGCTTTGAAAGCTAATTTCTTTCTTAGCATTTTGATCTCAGCTTCCTGGGATTCCTGTTGAGAAATGAAATGATGACAGTGGCAAACACCAAATGCACAACACCTTCAAGCACCCATAGTTTTAACTTACTATACAACAAATATGATGCTAATATACACCTTGGTCTTTTCTTGCAAAGTAGTCTTCTCCACTTCTTTTGCATGTATCTTTTCCTCAAGTTTAGAGTAGAACTAACCATTACAAAAAAAAAACTCAAACTGAAGTATATAGCATGTAGCAGTTGAAAGTCAGTACTTCCTGCGACAACAAAAGCTAACCTCTTTCCTTTTCTCTGCTCTTTCATTACATTTGAAACTGAAACCATAATTTGGAAGAGCACCAGCTTTGCAAGACTTCGCATCTCTAGTGGTAGGACTTCTGTAACATGGTTAAAGATAACCAAAAGGAAAGTAAACTACAAAATACTATAAGAGTTCTAAAATTCTTAAAGGAGAGAAACATTGTTGTGGCAGGATTTACAGAGCAGATTGAGCCACTTCAGCTTTACTCAGAGGAATCGGAGGCCCTTTCTTCAATGACTTCAGCGAAGGCTTGTCTCTGAAGTAAAAAATCACATATCAGAAGACTCCTTGAAGCGAAAGTTTAGAATATAGTTAAAAACAAAATAAAGTTGACTACAGAGGAACATAAAGTCTCTTAGAATAATGCTATAAGTAGAGTTGACATAGTTCAAGCTAAACTGTGAATAAAATGTGACTACTAGGGGAAACTTGACATACTTAACCCCTTCAAGCTGTTCATCACTTGGAGATGTTATGTCAGGGTGTCCAGACTGCTGCTAAACATAAGGAAATAGTTTGACAAGTAATCAAACACATGGTTAGAAACAATCATCAACCGAAGCACATGAAAGGAGTGCACACATACAAATTAAATTATAAATGACATAAACCTTTGGGAAGATCATCTCATACCTTAGCATGATTAGTCTTAACAAGAGGAGACCCTGGCTTTGAATTACTCTCACCAGTTTTTCTCTCATCAAAAGATTTAGCCTTACGTACAGATGATTGCTGACCACATGCTCCCAAGGTATTTGAACCGTTTAAGATCACGGGACTGGACGAACCATCTTTTCTAAACTGTCCCTTTTTTGTCCCAGTGAGGCTCAAAGGTTTACCATTTTTAGGCTTTCCAAGGGCCTTTTCTACTTTTCCAATCTTGGGCTCTCCAGAACATGAAACTTCAGACTCCTACTAAATATAAATGGATTACACATGATGTGGTTCAGTGGTTCTAAAAGCAAAAGAATTAATTTTTGGATTAGTAAAAAAGGGTACCTTAGAGCCAGAAGCAGTGTTGCTTTCTAGAGGCACGGTTGATATCTCTTTAACATCTTGGATGTATGAGTCAAGAGCTTCATCTCCATTCAAATTTACTTTGCACTTCAAATGGCTTTCTAGGTCTTCAACAGTAGAGTGCCCATTGGGAATCCCATCAGACTTTTCACCAATAACATCTTCTTCATCACTAGAAAGTTGTCGGTGAAATTCAGCTTCACTGCCCATCCAATTCTCAACAGCCAATTTGTTATCATCTACATCCATCGGGTCTTTGCAACTTGCAAGATTGCAACCTACTAACTTCTATGATAAGCACTGAATTTTCCAGAGATGTATGATGTTTTAGGATCCACAAGTTTAAGAACTGCAAGTATGCCTACAAGCCACCCTTACATAAATAGTGAATCCTGCAAAGATGTAAGAAGCACCCTTCCCACCAATCCCAAAATGGCAACCCCAAGGAGATATAGAGAGATGAAACCGATTTGCCCAATACATTTCACATCAATAAAATGTCATAGATACTCAAAGAAGAAAAACCAAGATTTCTTTCTTGACAGTAAAAATTGCTAAGCAAGGTGCTTGTAGTCTTACACAAGAGGAAAGTTTCATTTGAATAAAAGTATGCCTACTTACGGGTACCATTCTGCAGAACGTTGCACTAAAAAAAGTGCAGGAATTGAGTTAGTTTTCTGCTGTCTCGCTTAAAAAAAATGCTTTTCAGGTTAAATTTTGAGTAACAACATAATACTAAAAGGAGGAAGAAAACTATTACCTAACAGATGCAAAGAAAAGAGAATACAAATATTGTCATCTAAAGCAAAATGCTCCCAGAAAAGGACAAAACTGAAGAAAAACAAATATACTCATCTATATTTCCCAACCCAAAAAGAAAAGATCCAATCTTTAACATGCCCAGATTCAACATCTGGTGAAACCCCTGCAGAATCTCATTCATAAAACAAAGATATCAACACAAAACTCACAAACAAAGATGAATGCACGCAGATACGCGTATGCGAGAGAGATTGGAATGAGGAAAACTCTCTTTTAATCCTTATCAAGAAGATGGGTTTACCTAGAGAACCTTGTAATGATCAAAGAGCCATTGAATCAACGAGGATCTGAGAGGGCATTTGGGGAGATGCAGAGGGGCAGGGTCCAGGGTAGAAGTTAGAAATGGGTTGATGATTTTCATTTTTTTTTCATTTCTTTTTTCAATTTTTGACGGTTTTTAGGAATTTTACCAAGATTTTTGAAAATGGGATTTTTATTAGAATACCAAAAAAGAAATAAAATCACGAGTAACGGCCCACGACTTCACGAGTGCGTTAAAAACTTACTCCGTACGACTTACAACTTGCAAGAAATTATTTTTCTTTTTTTTTTCTTAAAAAATACTCCCCGCATCTAAAAATAATGTATAAAATATCGTGACTTTTAAAATAATAAAATAAAAAATAAAACTTATATATTTTTATATATATCAAAATTTCTACAACACAAAAGGTGAAAAAATATTTTATCTTATCAAATGATCAATAAAAACATGCAAACAGAGAAATGTTATCGAGAAATCGTAATATTAAAGAAATAAATCAACAATTGGGTTGGTAAATTTAATGTTCAATTCAAATTTTTTTCCAAAATAAAATTGGTAGTTTTAATTTTTTTTTTATTTCTATATTCTAACAATTTTATTTCTCCTTTAATTAAATTTTAATAAATTATTGAGCAAAATAATTTGCTTCTCATTTACCAATGGGTACAAAATAGACATTGTAGTATAGACATTGTAGAAGAAAATGAAACCGTGACATTATTGAGCAAATAATGAACAAAGTCTTACAATGCAACAAAATATAAAGGAAATTCTTTATGTGTGTGTACAAGGAAACTAATATCATTAGATGTAACCGTATCCTATTATGTCTTGTCCTATCTTACTATTTATAAAATCAATAAGAAAATATTTTTTTGACTAAACATCTAGGCCTTTACCTTTTGCCTATTTACAAAATATTGTTGACTTGGGTACTGATGTATGTTTTTACAGGTCAAGCTACAATGTTACGTTAAAAGCTGCTTTGTATAAAATGATCAAACGCAAAAGCATGCCTTGACAACCAATATGTGTTTATAGTTTATACCATTTGAATTTGACACCTTAAGTTTCCTTGCACCTAAGGCCATGGAGCTGCTAAGTCGAGTCCAATGAGTCATGCATAATTATGTTATGACGCGTAGATCTATGGATGTAGTTTTCAAAATGCTCAATATTGCTATTCAAAAAGGACTAACTGTGCAAGTTGTACGTTTGCCTTCTATTTTCGATGTATTAGTTTATTATTATTAAGTCTAGGTCAAATAAGGGAAATAATGGCCAGTTACTCATATTAAAAAAACACGGAGTACTTTGTTCACCAAAACCCTTCTTGTTTAGAGTATTCAATAACTTTTGTTCACGTGTGCTTTTTATCTGTCATTTGATAAAATATGTAAATTTTACCTTTTAGTTTTATATCAATTTGTAAATAAAAGCATTTTAAAAAGATATAGTTTTACACGTAAAAACAAAATTAGAAGAGTTTTGATGAACCTATTGTGAATTGCTAGGGAAACTCGTATAGTGGTATATATGCACGCCACTTTCAGTTTTTTTCAATTCTTTCCAGTTTCTTCCAATTCTTTTTAATTTTTTCAACTGTTTCCGGTTCCTCCAATATACAACTCTATTTTTCCAATTTCTTTCAACTTCTTCAAGTTTCTTCTAATATCTAACTATTTTTCCAAATGTCTAACAAAGGTCACTTAAGTCAATTCATAGAAGAAAACACAGAAATGGCCTACATAACATATCTATGTGTGCTAAAAACAAAAAACAAAAATATCTATGTGTGCTCATAAATTCCATCAACTACCCCCAACTGTACATGCCTATCTGTTATTACCAGTTTGCAACAAGAATCCAATTAGGCACCAAGAAGCCTTCTTACTCCATGCCATCAACACTAAAAAAAACAATAATTTAAAAATATCTAATGAGTAGTAATTTACGGTTTGAAATGGCATCCCGGTGCGCGAAGGGGTGGGTCCCACCGTAAGGCTACCTTGGCCCCGAGAGCCGAACAGCCGAAAGATCACTGTTGTAGTCAGACGAAGTGGCCTCGTCGCTAAAAGACTTGAAAGCGTTTGAAAACAGCCGGTTCCCGAGGGGAGAAAATGTGGGTGGGCCCACGACGGGGCAGACGCCTTCGAGCATTTGGACAACCTTTGTCATGGAAGGTCTCACGGACATGTCGTCCTGAATGCACCACAAGGCAACATTGATAGCCGTTGCGACCCTCTCATCATCACTCCCACCAATTTTGAGCTTCGCATCGATGACATTATCCATCTTCCCCTCTTCCATCATCTTGAAAGCGTACGTGGGGAAATGGGATTTCTCCAAACTCTGCGAGGGGTCATAGTTTTTCCTACCCCCTATGATCTCAAGCAGAACCATCCCATAGCTGTAGACGTCGCTCTTCTCTGATATGGCATAGTTTGTGATCCATTCTGGCGCGAGATACCCCCTGGTTCCCCTTAGTGTGGTGAACACGTGGCTTTGCTCTCGGGTCATGAGCTTGGCAAGGCCAAAATCGGAAACTTTGGCATGGAAATGTTCATCAAGCAGCACGTTTTCAGGCTTAATGTCGCAATGCACAATCTTTGAGTCGCAGTCCTGGTGGAGGTAAGCTAGACCTTTAGCCGTGCCCAGAGCGATGCTGAATCTTGTGTCCCAGTCCAGCATGAATTCTTTGTTGTCGCGGAAAAGCCATCTCTCCAAGGATCCATTTGCCATGTATTCGTATGCAAGAAGCCTGTGGGCCCCTTCTGCGCAAAAACCGCGAAGCTTCACGAGGTGGAGATGGTGGATGCTCCCTATTGTGCTGACTTCGGCTCGGAACTCCTTCTTCCCTTGCCCAATGCCTTCCAACTTTTTCACTGCCACTGGAGTCCCGTCGCGGAGGACACCTTTGTAAACTGAACCGAAACCCCCTTGTCCCAGTTTCACCTTGAAGTCGTCCGTAGCGTTTTGAAGGTCCTTGTAGGTAAAACGAATAGGCATACCCGATAAGCCCTCCAAGAAATCCTCCTCTTCTGAACTCTCTTTGGGAGGAGACAGGAGCATTTTTGTCATTCGCCTTCTGTGATAACGCAATCCTCCGTAAACTAGACTGAGAATTACAATCACTGTGAGAATGACAATGGCAATGACAACGGGCACGTGTTTCATTCCGTTCCCACCATTTCCAGAAGTTCCAGGACCAGTCGAGACTTTGACAAAGGCTCTAAACGAAGGACCCTTAACAGATCCTTGCAAGCTTCCGATCTGATCAAAGAAAAAACAATGATCCGAACTATTGTCAAAAAAGATCGCGACACATGAACAGTTCTTGAGGCAGGAGGCTTTGCAGCCGTTCAAATCAGTTGTTAGGGAAGGAGAAGTAAATCCAAGTGCAAAGTAACTGACATTATCGCCAGCCTCCACGAGCTCCACAGATTTTGGCTCATCACAAAGAGAATCAGCCATGGGTTTGCAAGATGGGAGTGACGAAGGGCACTGACACTGTTTCCCTTTGTAACAGACAAAATACGGATCACAAGCTGCCGGGCTGCCACATTCATCCTGTGGAATTCTTGTTGGGGAAGTGACGGGTGAACTCCCACTTTCTAGGAAACTGAATGTCAAAACCCCGTCGTCTCCTAAAACTGCAGCCCATGTCACATTTGGATCCGTTTTGTCCGAGAAGATGAACTCCAAGATTAGATCTTTGTTTTTACCATACATTTTCCAAGAATTGGAATCAAGAACAGCAGAAGCAACACCTTCTCCAACCTTGTTTATGGTTTTCCTGTTTTCATTCGACATGGCCCAATATCTCTGAGGAGATCTGAAACCGGCAGAGAGAAACACATCACCAGACTTGATTTCAAGGGAATAACTCAAATTGTTGGGGTTTTGACTGCTCACAAGCTTCATACCTTCAAGAAACTCTTGGTTTGACAAAAGAGTGTCGACCGGGTGGCTGAAACTCTGCCAAACAATACTTCTACTATCGTTACTGACCAAAACCAGATTCCCGGAGTCTCTCAATTCCATTGAAGAAACCCCTTTGCCCGCGGTACCTGTCTCCCAAATTACAGACCCCCCACTGCCCAAATAAGCATTCCCTGAGTCATCAAAGAAAAAGTAATCAGAATTTCTCACCGGAGAAGCTCTATTGGCAGACCAAACCACAGTTTGGCTGCTCAGATGCATCACAACTAGCAGAAACAAAGTGACATCTTGCGTGGGGTGGAACCCGAATGCAAAACCCGAATTGTCCGACACAAGAATCATTCCATCTTGGTCTATCCAAGTCATCTGAGACCCTTTGAACCCTAGTTTCAACCTGCCTTTGTTCTGAATGCTGCCCATACAATACTCGGGCAGGAACTGGAAAAACAAGCACCCCAACACTAAAACCAAGAACAGCCTTGAACCCATGGCTTCAACTCCGCTTCCACAACGAATTTAGATTCTTGAAACTGGGGAATTTGAAGATAAAGGTCGAATCTTTATGAAGATAAACAACAAAAAGAGAGAGAACATCCACAATAGTGACACCAAAGGAAGAAAAAAACACGAATTGCAGTGTAATGGGCAAAGGGTACTTTCCAAATGTTCAAGAAATTTTTATCCTTACCCGGAAAACCTGAAAAGGCTTGACATATAGAGTGCCCAGCTTATCTGTCAAAAGAATAAATGCTCACTGATACCACTTGTGTTTCTGTCATTACTATGGATCAAGCAACTGGGAATATAAAAAAATAAAAATAAAAAGAATCCAAGAGCTGAGTTCCCCAGCTTATCTGTCAAAGATTATTAAGAAAGAAAGAGGATTTAATGCCCACTGACAGATCGAAGCTGACAGGTTTCCCGGCTTCCCCGTATAAAAGTGCAAACAGACTTTTCCACAAGAGCAATCTTCCAGTAATCAATCTCACACGGAGTACGAGTAAATTTTTACTTGTAGTAGGGAATTCAAAAAAATAAAAATAAAAATAAGAATATTGTTGAAATTTATCGAAAGTATAAACAATTGTCATGAAAGGTTTTACCGGTAGGGAGGTTCAAATTCGGGAGCACTATTTCAAGCTTGTGGTTATAAGTTCATTAAAGATTTTATCTTGGAATTTTTAGTTTATAACGGGATAAATTCAGATATAAATTTGGTGGGGTTCATTATATTATTTTCTAAAAATAATTATGGACAACTAATTTCTAAAATGACGAGAGTGTATTGATACATTCCACGCCAAAAATAGTGTCTGTTGAAGGAGAAATTTACTCACAAAGTCGAATATTTGAAAGGAGTAAGAGGGTGCGAATATCTATGTGTCCCACGTCGGTTTTGAGACCTTTCATCTTCCACTATTTATATGCTTGCATTGAATTACATTGTAAAACAATTTGAGAAGAAATATAGAAAGGATCTCTCGCGCACCGTTGTCGTCCATTTTGCTCGGTTCAACTCGGCACGTTAACGTGACAATGGTGTGGGTCAACTTCTATCTTTTTACGAATTCTGCTGGTAATATGATTTAAAATTATGCAGGTAAAAGAGAATTGATGTAAATTATTCGTATATAATCATTTCCTTTTTTAAAAAATAACTTACTCCATATTTTTTTGGGATAGAAAAATAAAAGAAGAGAAATGACGTAAATTATCCGTATATAATCATTTCCTTTTTAAAAAATAACTTACTTTGTATGTATTTTGGGACAGAATTAAAAAAGAAAGGTAGATTTTTTTTTCACAGTATAATAAGTATGCAGATAAATCCAATTCTGCTGGGGAGATAGGTCAAAGAAAATGAAGAATCTAACCCATGCTTGAAATATTTGTATCAAATTCAAAACTATGTGAAGATAAATCAAAACTATGGGCAAGTTTTCTTTCTATCAATCTCAAAAATTGATTGTCTATGCCATTGCCCATGTTCTTCCAGACAAAATGTTTCATACGTCATATTTCAAATTATTACAGTTTTATTCATATCAAATTCTTTATATCAATCTCAAAAATTGATTGTATTTATAATTTCACACCATTTACCAAATAAATTCAATAAGAAATAATTTCAATGGAATATTATAAACCAAAACATACCACTTAAATTGAAACCGAGGGAATAAATGATGATGGTAGTCAACTAAATCCTCATTTTTTTTAAAAATATCATTGTTGCAAGTATGGAAATGCAGGGGGAATGGCTAGGTGCTGTTTGGCAACAACTTCAGCGTTTAACTTAACATTTCAAAAATGTTGATGCAATCTTTAATTTTGTCATTTTCAAAGTTAATATACACCACAAAAAATACACTGCTAAAAATTAATCTAAAACGCTAACGATAGTTGAAAACGATGTTCCCAAACGAAGGCTAAGTAGGAGGCGTGGTCCGCTCGTGTGTGTACCCCGAGGCCCTCCCACTCCTACCCATCAAAAGTGGCTCAGTGATGGTGTTACTCTCAGAATGATGAATGTCGAGACCATGGAAGGACCTAGCTGCAAAGAATTCTGCCCCTGACTTTGCTGTTCCCATCATCGTCTTCTTCGTTCCACTATCCCGAACTTGGAGAGCTCTTTGTGTAACGCTCACCAATGCAGAAACTCCATCCTCCTCCAAATCATGGGGCTCTGCTCAAAAAACGTCGTCAAGAACATGATAAGAAAATACTCCGTATATATCCAAAGCTTAGAGTGAGACAAAGGCTAGTTCTCATAATGTGACAACGAATGCTCGTATTAAAGAAGAAATCGAGAGAAATACAACAACAAATAACAACAATTGCGGGCTGGGGGGTTGGATGTACGCAGTCTGACCTTTATGTTAAGGGGATGTTTCTGTGTGCTGATGATAAACAGTTTTTAACTTATAAACTGTTTATAAGTCAAATATTTTTTCATAGAAGTAAAATGACTTAAATGATAAAAAACTCATTTGAAAATATTCATAAATGGTGAAAGACAATTTTGTAAATAATCCGGTCAAAATAGAGAAACGAAAAAAATGATTTAAAAATAAGTAGGTAAGTCTTATTTTTCTACTTTTAAGCAATTTAAAAGTCAGATTATAAGCACATGAAAAAATGTCATCAGTTGACTCATAAGTTAAAAACAGTTTATAAGCAGTTTTGACCAACTTATAAATAGAGAGAAACACCACTAAAACACAGAGTGGTTGTTCCCATAAAGGCCATAATGTGATAAAGAATGCTCGTATTAAAGAAAAAATCGAGAGAAATGGATAAAATAAAATAATAACCTTTTTGATCAAAATCTTCCATGTATCCACCTTGGAGGAAAGAAAATCTTGCTTCCTCTGATTGCTCATTTTCTTCCACCGGAGCAGACCCAAGCAAATCGCGGAACTCAGTCACATATTCTCCGGTCCACTGACTTCCTCTGAGTATATCAACATGAAAAGAGAAGTATTAGAAATTACAAACCTTTAGAAAATGTAGGTGATAAAGTTTTAAAAGCAATATGTTGAGAAGGGTAACTAGGTCTTGTTTGGTAGACCATGATACAAAGTAAAAGGCAATGTTATTTCTAGGGGTTAAATATGTTTCTAGTCCCTGTAAAATAGACAACATTTGCTTTTGGTCCCTACAAAAGTTTTGTTGTTGAAATCATCCTTGTAACTTTTTTTACTTTTGCAATTGGTCCTCCTGTCAATATGGAGCAAAAATGTCACTGTTCCAAATACAAAACCGCTTTGGAACGCTTTGTATATTTTACAGGAACCAAAAAAACGCGGATTATACAATATGAAATCCTCGGGACTAAAAATTGTATGGGAGGACATATGGCAAAAGGAAAAAAATTACAAGGATGACTTCAACCAGGAAAACATATTTAACCCTTATTAGGGACCAAAAGCAAAAGTCGTCCATTTCAGAGGATCAAAAAACATATTTAACTCTTATTTGTAGTGTAAATTAGATATGTATTTGATTAAATTATTACTCCCTCCGTCCCAAAGACTCCTTATTTCCTTTTTTGGACATCCCAAGAAAAGATTCTTCTATCTTTTTATAAGAAAACTTTGAGCGGCTCACAGTCGTTCTCTCTCCTCTTCATCACTTTCAACCACACATCTTCACTTTTCTTAAAGTTTGTGTCAAATCACATTGGGAGCCTTTTTTTGGGACGGAGGGAGTATGTCACAACATTATATTTGTAAAACCAAGAACCATGCAAGTTTTTGAGATCATACCTATTGAAAGCAAGCATTGCTTCATAGGGTGTAATAATGGGAGCTAAAAACTCTTTACTATCCAATAGAGCTGTTTGTGCACAAGAAACATATATAAAAACATCACACTGCAAAAATGCAGAAAGGGATTTAGAATCCTTCTTGCTTTTTGAGATGTGAAAAAAAAACCAAAAATGTAAAGTCACATGCCTCAGGGAAGTTAGCAAGCTTGGCAGGATTTGGCCTACCCATAACAAAAATATAGGCTTTCTTCCCGGCCCTTGTGATCAAATCTTTCATCTGATGAATCATGTGGAGATAACCAGCTACAACAACAATGTGGGGCAAGGCCACAAGAGGAAGTTAGCATTACTCTTATAGTTTTTTAGGAATCTTTTACTCCCTCTGTTTCACCGAACAATTCTACTTTCACTTTTTGATTGTCACATAAAACACTTGCACTTTCCATTAAAACGTCTATTTTACCCCTATTAATTCTTTTCAAACCTATCACATCATATCTATTCACTATTAATCTACCCATCACATCCAACTTTTATCCATCACATCCAAGGGCAAAACTGGAAAGTCAACTACAAAACACACTCCCCTTATATTTGTCAAAAGTCAAAATTCGAACTGTTTTTCAAAACGGAGGTTGGAGGGAGTAGTATAAATATCTTCTTCAATGTATATGAGCAAAAACATTCTATGTATTTATGTTTAAAATGATATTTGCATGATTAAATCAATAGAATGATTAAATAGGTAATGCATAGACCTACCTACTCCAAGAGTTCCCACCAAGATCCCAACAATACCGGCATCCTTCGCTTTCTCAACTAGAAAATACCTGTGGACACATTATTTAAAAAAAGAATATAAGGCAAAGAAGATACCAATTATAGATGTTTTTACTACATGTAGTATCTGGGAACTTAACAGAAAAAGGACATGCAATACCTACGCCTAAGAATCTTGTTCTGTGAAGAGAAGTTAGTGACCAACAAATCTTGAGCTGCATCGTATCTGACTGGGAGCAAAGCCAGCGACGTGAGCACAATGATTAATAACATTCACAAAACAAGTCTAAAATAAATGACAACACACCGGAAGTGCATTAGTGGCAGGAAGATCATACTAAACTGGCAAAATATTGTTCCAACAATAGAAATTCAGTCAAAGCAAAAAACATTATCATCATTTTATGCCCTGAAATTTCACAAGTCACATTGAAAAAGAAGCAGTATAGAACAATAAAAAGACACATGCAAAGACCTATCATGTGTCAACAATTTCTTCCCTCGCAAAAAACACATATTCAAGGCCTTTAAATGCCCTATGCCAATTGATGTGTAAAGCTTTTAGCATCATCCTAAAGCTCCATCATCTTGCACTAATTCCACATAAAAGTTTATTCATCTTGGTAAAGATAGTAAAAAATCAAATGGTAGAGGTTGCTAATATACATCAGAATCCTAAAAATGTCCCGTATGCTTATCCCGAGAAAGGGAAGAAAAATGAATGTGCCCATGCAAAGCCAATTATTTATGACAAAGTAATTTGAGTTAACAAAAGCCAAAATGTAGACAGTGAACGTAAAGTATTACCTAATTCACAACTGTTGTATGTCAATAGCACATTAGCAAAAGCTGAATTATCTGAACCGATATAAAAAAGCAAATAATCTTTCATCTTATGTCCCTTATTTAAGCTCCAAGACAACCCTCCTATAGTATATGTTTCCTTAGAATGACTTCCATTATCAGTTCCACAGTCAACATCTTCAGGATTGTTATCCACAGATCTAAAAACTGCTGTTGGACTAGTAACAAAGTTTATTACATCAGCATAAGAAAGTTCCAAATTAGATGAGCTATATAATCTTGAAGATTCTGCTATTGCAACTTCCTTGATCTTCGGTATGGCGTGTGCATATTCAAGCCCATAAAGAACCTACATTAAAGGTGACAAATCCAAAAGATTCTCATGTATTTAACCAACTGATCCATTAGTCTAAACAAACAAGCATGATTCCCCCCATTTACGGATACAAGGATATTGTTACAGCATAGAAACCTTCTTCGCCAAGCATTTAAATCAAATGAAAAACTGCATAAAGACTAGGACTATTTGTAGTCGGCAATTTATGCTATGACTTATCCACTACAACAACAACCAACCCAGTAAAATCACATAGACGGGCCAAACCTATATGACTTATTCACTAAATAGTACTCCCGTCCCAAATTAAATTGCATATTTAGTATTCATAGGGTCAAACTTTATTCACTTTCTTTCCCTATTTTTGTTAGTCATTTGATAAAATAATATAGTCATGTCACCACTAGTTTTGATATAGTTTTTTAATATGTAATTTTTATTTTTTTAATTCTACACCGTGTTTCATATAAAATGATTTAAAAATAAATTCAGTCAAACATCGTAGGACGAAACAGACAATTTAAATTGGGACGGAGGGAGTAAATAATATAGGTAATACATGAAGGTTATAACACAATTACTTTGCATATTCTCCTGCATAGAATTTAGACAATTTCTAATAAAGACAATGACGATGATGGCAACAACAATGATAATAATAATAATAATATAATAATAATATGCAAAAGCTTTACCAAAATTGGCTTTTCAAATTGCGATGTGTATCCATACAGTTTTTCTAAACAATTTGGAACATTAATGGAAGCTTTTCCAAAAACATAGAATGCAGGAATTGCTGATGTCCTGAAACAAAAGAGGTACCAGAGTTCAGATAAATTCAAATTGCAACTACTGTAAGAATTATCAAAACGAAAATGGAGGAAAGATGTGGTTTACTAACGGACTAAGGCATGTATGACCATAATGAATAACACAGTCGGCATTTACATGAGCTGCTCCAACCTCATCAACACAACAGTTGCCATAAGTAGTATCAGCCATTACGTACAATTTGACATCCTTTGTGTCTCCACTTGACTCTCCGAGTGCGCGAACCTTTTTGTGCAGCGCCGCTACTATTTTTGTTGAATACTTCAATAGTTCATCTGGGAACTGAGGTTTGAAGTATATACACATGAAGATAAGAAAAATGCTAAATTTAAACTTGAATCCTAGAGGGATAGTGGACATTAGTACCTGGAGAGCTACTCTTTTGAAGCCTTTACGAAAGATAAAATCTGCTACACAAACAGTATCATAAGTTGAATCAAAATCCATGGACGTTAGGGGTGGCAGCGGAAACCCAAAGTGGACTTGCAATATCTCGGACACTTATGTTTACAGGTTAAAAATCTGAGCCAAGAAAAAAATCACCATAGTCAAAAATTAAGATAGCTTCGACCATCCTGCCTAACTTAATTTCATATCCTCAATGAGCATATTAAGCAAAATTTCGTCTTTGTACAATTTAAATATTTAATCTTCTCTAAATTTTTGTATTTAAATGGAGACCCAAGTAAGAAACCTTGTATAATGAATTACTGTCCCCCGAAAATTGTTTTCTTTTCCCTACTATCTTCCCTCCTCCCATTTCTTCTTCTAAAGTTACTCCCTCATTTCTTATGTGCTTACGTTTCAAGTCCCCGGAAATAACAGACCAATAGGGGGCGCACATTCCTGTTAGGTCCGGGAAATAACAGACCAATAGGGGGCGCAGCCCGGGAAATAACTGGCCAAAACCCTAAGATAATCTAAAACCTAGAGCAACATGCCAACAAGAACCATGAAACAGGCTCAATTCGTATCATGCATCTAAAAGTAACGCAACAGCGGTATACCTAATTTGTTTGCTAAGAAAATAACCATTAGAGATCATATCAGAAACGCAGAAGAACATGGAAAAGACGATACCTTGGCAATCGACTGAGTTGGAAGAGATAGACTCGGACAAGAAAATCTGATTTTGGGTCACCTAAGCAGCTGGAATCCAGTACACCACAGGCTACGAGTGATTGAACCACGGGGCACGAGCAGAGCACTCCCAGGCCTCGTAGGGTAGATGCGGACTGCGGAGTGGTGGGGGTTCGAAGGCTTTAAGTCATTCAAAATCAGCTGAATGAGAAGAAAAAATATGAGTCTCGTCCCGAATCTAGGGTTTCACGGCTAAGACTCAAAAGGATTTGTCTTTTAGGCAAGGTTGATATTATTAGCCCATTTAAGATTCATACCATGTTCTATTTGGTTTGATTAAGAAGTGATTTTAACTTTCTTAACCCCAAAATCCCAGGTGAATCAAGTTGTTTATTAACTAGCACATCACACACACATATGTGCTGGTTCATGTGAGAATAGATCTTGGTGAAAAAATAAGAATGATTATGAAGCATTGATTTGTTTCATCACACGGTCTTAGAAAAGATCCTTATTGGAAGTTATAATTAGGAAAGCAATGATAGATTACTTTTTTTATTAAGTAAAATGTATAGTTCTAGGGGTATTAGTCGAAGAATGAAAATCGTGCTTGAATTCATTTATAACTACACACCTATATTTGTGCAGGGTCTTTTGCACATTTGAAAAAGTCAATATTTGTTTTAGGTGAGTATTTAATACTTTAGTGTACTTTATGATGCATTTTTTATTTAAAAAATATTTTCTTTCCCAAATTTATCTTTTAATTTATTTACCTAATTTTGTATTGTTATTATTCATTTGATATAAATTTTATTATATTAATTTGAGGATTAGGGAATAATGATTTTCCAGTAACTCAGAATACAATGAGAAAGCATGAAAATGCATTGTATTCATAACAAGTGAAAATACAAATTTGAGAAATAGTTTGCCTATGCAGGATTCGAACCCGCATCTATATTACATACTGCTCTTTCATTTGAGCTAATAAGCAACAATTTATTTTTTCAAAAAGACCCTCATATTGCACTTGGACATATTAAATATGCATATAAACCTGTTTAAACTCGGAAAGGACTCCAATCTTAGCACTTTGACCTATCAAAAATGCATTTATATCTTTTAAATTATGCATCTTTCCACACAATCAGTCTGGATTCCATATAATATGCACTACACAATCTTTATAATGCACAAAATATTATATATACTGCACAAAAATGCACACTATTGCATCCCGGGTATTTCCATGCATCTTCATCTTATGCAGTAACATTATATTTTTATATATGTATTCACTCTGGCATCTTGTTCAGCTTCTTCCTCATATAATCATATTGCATCCTGGGCTCTAAATATGTCACATCAAAGGCAATTTGTAATGCATTTCTATATATAGAACATGCATCTTTCAAACATAAAAATAAACATAAGAAAAATTATGGTAAAATTTATGACAGATTCATGACAAAAATTAAAATCAAACATAAGCAAAATAATAAGAATGATAAAGAATTAGCAAGATCATGACAAAGTTCTTCTCTGATTTCGCTAAATGGTTTTTTATGCATTTGTTTATGCATTATCCTCTGATCATTTCAACAGTGTGATATTTCTCATGCTTATTAAACCAATTCTGCAAAACAAATCCTCCACCAGTAGCTTGTGTTAAATGATTTATTTTTTTTGAAAAAAAAATATTTGAAAAGAAAAGGGAGTTAAAGATTAAAACCCCAAATTACTGAGTATAACACTAAATCCCAAAATAGGAAACATGCAATATCACACCCAAAGAGTTATTCATTAAAGTAGATACACAAATTCAAATCATCCCAAATCAAAAGGCTAGAAGATGTTTGCACAAAAAACATCTTCAGGGCGTTTTGTTGAACATGTGGCTTGCAATCTTTTGGAGTGTGCATTATGGCAAATTCAACACTATCTAAAGCACGAAGAACCTTAGGAATGGTATTAGAACCCATCTAAATCAACACGATAGGGACAAAGCTATCATCTTGATTTAAACGAGGAATGATGAAGAGCAAGATCGATACAATCTAATTTGTATAAATGAGTAATTGGTTTTGAGACAGCCTTCTAGACAAAGAATCAGTGAAGAAAGTAAGAATCCAAACATAAGTAAAATCCTGATATCATATTTCAATTGAATACCGTGTTTCAACTTTGTAGAAAAGAATTGGATGATCAAGAATTGAACACCCCCCAGAATATATGGATAAACGAAATTCTTGACTTAAAACATAAAATTGAACATACCTGATATCATTTTTGAATCCTTTGGATATCTTCTCCTTCGAACATCCGTGATTGCCATAGTTGTAGATCAGATGAAGAAATGGAAGGCACAAATAGTGAGGATCGTGCGCTTTAGGCCGAACGGATGAATCCTTCAGATGCAACGAGGTCTAATGGGCAAGAAAGATTTTCATTAGATTTCATTCTCACAGGAATCTATATGTTTGTGTTGATAGACAAAATAGATGAGCATTACATTGATGTATAAATATTATACATCAAGTCATGATAAATTATGACTTTGAAAATCACCATGATAGCATTTTACATTGATGTATAAACATTATAGACCTCTTGATGTGACAGAAAAAACAAATGAACTCTTTAATAGAGAATTTGACATATATTGAAGATATTGTCATGATAAATTATGCCTTGGTTTGTAATTTACACATTCATGTAATTATACATTTGCTCATCACTCAAACTACATACGAAAGATGAAAGATGTTAACACGGACAAATATAGACAAGGCTCACTCAACATACCACAAGATTGTTCGATAATTAGATATACCTAATAACTTATACTGCCTTAGAGAAAAGGGTGAAGGAGTACATGGTGAGAAGTGCCATATGTTAAATATAATCTCGGATAGGTTACATGTTTACATAGATGGTAAGACATTTTCTTAGAAGTCAACAATGCAAGCGCTAGTGGAAACATCATTAAATCAAAGTTACATGATAGCACATCATAACTCCGACTAAGAATGCACACATTTAATATCGAGGTCAATCACATAAGGAGTATGCCGTTCTAGAAGAAATCAAGGATCCGACAATCATCTATTAAGACAATGCACCTTACAATTAACCATTCATATTAGGAGATTGTACATCAAGAGAGGCTAAATGAAACACATCTCACTAAAGTTTTTCTCAACATATAATCTGTATGAAGAGGGATTGATATTCACCAAAAAGTCAAGTTATAACATGATGACAAACATGTTTGCAAAGTCTTTATATAAAAATAGTTTCGAGCAACTCACAAAGAAGATAGTGTGCAAAGATTATTTTGAGGGGGGAGTATTGTATTAATTTGGTGGAAATCTTTATACACGTTGTACTCTTTTTTTCACTTGACTAAATTTTGTTCTACGAGATTTGTTTCTTCGTAAGTTTTTAATGAAGCAACATAATTGATCTTGTAGTATCATTTAATATATGTCTTAGAAAATATAGCCCATATCATCTAGTAGTATAATTGATGGCATAAGTTGAAATGTGTATGTATAGCTAGACTTAGTGGATCTGACAGGGTCAATAATAACAAGCAAGTAAACAAGGAACACTCAAAGAATGACTTAAGCAGCGTTCTGTTCAACTTAATTTTTCTGCTTGTATTCTAATTAAAATTAGATCAGATCATATCATATCCAATCAGGTCAGATCAGATCATACCAGATCTAAACAAAATTAATATTATTATGTTTATTATTATTACTATTACTATTATTACCACTATTATTATTACTATTAATATTATGATTATAATTATTATTTATTATTACTATTGATATTATTATTACAATTAATATTAATATTATTATTATTGTTACTATTATAATTACTATTTTTATTATTACTATTACTATTATTATTATTTTTATTCTTATTTTTACTATTATTATTACTATTACTATTATAATTACTATTACTATTAAAATTACTATTACTATTACTATTGTTATTATAATTATAATTATTATTATTACTACTACTAATATTATTATTACTATTATTATTATGATTACTATTACTAATATTATTATTACTAGCACTATTGTTATTATTTCTATTGTTATTGTTATTAGTATTATTAATAGTATTATTATTATAATTATTAATATTATTTCTATTTTTATTACTATTATTATTATTTATATTATTATTATTTATATTATTATTACTATTATTGTTATTATTCCTATTAATATTATTATTATTACTATTATTATTAATATTTATATTATTATTATTATAACTATTATTATAACTATTAAAATAAAAATTTTAATTTTAATTTTAATCAAATTCATATGAGATCAAATCCAATCAGATCAGAACAGATGAGATTAGACCAAATCAGATTAGACTAGACCAGATCAGATCAGATCCAATCAGATCAGATCATATTATATCAAATCCAATGAGATTAGATCAAATTATACCAGATCAAATCAGAACTTCAAAAAGTCAGATCAAATCAGGCAAACGGGACGTAGCCTGAGACTGTGGAAATTCTCGACCCCATGTCAATATATACTGTTTACTCTTTTTCAAGAGTGTACTAGTTTGAACAAATAAAAGTGAATGTCTCTTCCTTCTTCTATTACATCTTATTTATATAGAGCAGAGGAGTCATATGCGGTGATTGATTATTATTCATCCACTGACAAAGTGTCAATCATTGTGTAATTATGGAAATATTTTTGTTATTAATCTAGCTACCAATCGGGGTATGAATCAGCATCAATTAAGCAAACGCTCAATCAGCTTTAAAAAATGGCAGGGCAAGTCCTTTCGATCACATATGTCCCTATGGCTTGGGATGATGCCTCAACCTAATTGAGATGGTTTTGTCGGCCTTGTCTATTGATAGAGGAACAAGTTTGCACGAAGAGTTGCATTTCATGAAAACTCTTTCTCGATGGAGCTAACAAATATGACTTGACCAGATGCATGACCGTTCATCTCCTCGGGGTGACCTGATAGGTCATACTACTTTTTCCTCTATATGTCATCTTAGGTGTTCTCCGTATTTGACAGGTCCTATTCAACCGGTCTTCTATTCGGTGTTCAACCTAGGTATGGATTATACCATTAGTAACGTTAATAGTGTATAATAAAAGATAATATACGCAAGACTGCTAAATATTGGAGACATATCTTTTCCTCCC